TCCGTGCCGGTGCACGCAGGCCTTGTAATCGGGCTCCTTTTTTCGGCATCGGCATGGGGGTAGTATGCGCTGTTGTCTTTTGTTCTCATTATTTGCTCTTCGCTTGAAGTGGTATGATATATAGAAAGACAGCCGGTCCAACTCTCGATTAGGGCGCGAGCTGTGTGTAGCTTTTTTCTTTTTGACTCGTTGAAAGTGGATGTTCCAAGCAGCCTGTGCCTTCGCATTCGCTTAAATTTATTCCTTATTTATTTACTTTAATTTCCGCATCTTTCACCGGGTGCCTCAGTTTCAGTGGTGCCGGGGTCCCCACGCAGCGTGTTGGGAGTATCCAGGCAGAGTAAGCTTCACCACTGGGGCGACGCGTCACAGCCCCTCGAAGCCCGCCTGTACCCTGTTTAGCTACCGGTGGGTGGCCGGCCGGCACTGGGGATCGAACCCCGCACCCCCCGTAGCTGAAGCGGACGCGTACGTGCAATGCCACAGCTACGGTTCAGTTTCAGTTGTGGCGAGAGATGATATAAGAATGCGCGATGGATCTGATTATTGAGCGCACATGTTCGCGCTGCACACCGCTGAAGATGATCGCGTATATCCATTCAAATGCAAACGTCCAATAGATTGAAAAAAAAAAAAAAAAGAAAGAAAGGAAGAAAGAAGGACATGTTGCAAACAAAAAAAGATAAAGAAAAAACACGGTATAAGATTATGTGTGAAGCACTATGTATGAGGTACTTTGGGTGAACTTTGACCAACTGGAGTGCTTTTAAAGTACACGTATATCCAAGGACACGTTTATTTCTGCATTTTGGCCCCCGTCGAAATGCGGACGCCGCGATCGCAGTAATCGAACCCGCGTCCTCGAGCTTAATGGCGCAACGCCTCAGCCACTGTATGCACGAGCGATGCCAATTGAACAACGTAAAGGTGAAAGGAAATGTGCGCTGGCTTACGTTAAAATGTTCTGTATACAGCAGATGCGCTGGTGTTGATAGTCTCTGTATACGTCACATCTGAGGCGAACATCATTCAATAGCTGCGATTCTCGTGAACTAAATGTTTATGGAGAGCAGAGGCACTGAGTGCAGCTGCAGCGCGATTGTGCGGATTCTTAGGCTGTCAGCTGTGAATAATCAATAGGGCTCCCGCTGCGGCAGCAGGGATGTCGTTTTCTCCTGGAATCCTTCACCTCGGTTTGATTATGCTCTGCGCGTGCTTCCGCAGCTGTTGTATTCGCCAATGATCACCTTGCAAGCCGTTAACGCGACAGACGTACATCCCACGCTGATTCGCACGAAATATACATCGTTTGCCGAAAAACTTGTGAGGAAAACATAGAGCGAGAGGGGTAAAACGGGAAGAGGCAGGATAAGATCGTGAGTTTTTCGATAAGCCACGCGCCATCTTGCCTAAAGTTGTGTACTCTGCTAAGGTGTGCTGTTGCGTCGGGCTGCGGCATCCCGGGGAGATGACGCAGCTTGGAAAACGAAGTTGTGTGCTCCAGGTGGTGCTAAAATACTTAATTACGCATTAGTGCGGCGGCCGTTTAATTTCGCGTTTGCGCGAGCTCCGCTTTCGATCATTCGGGAGGTGCTATACGAACCGTTTTAACGTGCAGGTCATTATCCTGACTGTGCGCGTGCGCAGGACTCCCCTTTGTGGGAGAGAGGGTGAAGTTTCACCGCAGCGCGCCTTTTCCCTTAAATAGCGGAAGTTGGGCTATTTGGTGGTTCATGCTTGGGATGTAAAAAACAGTGCAAAAAATATAGACAAGGACAGAGGAAGAGACGATACCGTGCCGTCTTTTCCCTATTATGCCAATGCATGAGACTGACTTTGCGCCCCCCCCCCCAATCCTTTCTTCTTTGGTAACTTGGAGAAGCGCATCCTCTCACCAAGCAGCGCAGGAAATCGAACCCAGTACCTCCCGCACTTGAGGCAGAATTGACCTAAATTGCGGTGTAGTAGATTTGGAGTGGGTATAGAGCATCAACTATATATCAACACATACCAAAGACATAACAAATGAATGATCAGATAACATGATATATTGATTGAGAGCGCATTTACAGCGCCCCCTTAGCACGACAGCGATTAAGATTCGTGAAATAGAGAGCGATCTTTAGCTAAAGGGGATTTCTTCGTACATGTGGGCCAGCAAAATCCCAGCTATAATGAAACATGAACATGTTCATTCGTATTGGTGGTTACTCTGTATACCGTCGGTGTTTCCGTTCTTCAAGACGGGGGCGGAATGTTGTTGCGTCGACTGATGGAACCCGAACGTCAAGCTAGCTTGTTATTTTCAGAAGGGTTAGAAGGTGCGCCTTGTGAGCATTCGTTCGATCGTTTCATGCGCGAAGCGTGCAGTTATGCTGCGCACTGGTCGATGGGGTCCAGCTTTATTCGCTGTGATCTCTAACGGGCTATGAGCGGCACCTGGCCGCGAGACGTTTCTATCGACGTGTGAGTACGATACACAGGCAACTACTGCTGTACGTCTGGGATCTGATTCGATTAGAGATGTGCCTAGCCGCTTTAATCCTTACAGACGTGCCTTTAGCTTACAGATGTGCCTTTCCGCCTTTAATCAAGTTTTCTCCTCATTGCGGCCGTCCGCAGACCTGATTTGCGAGCTTCGATTGAAATTCAGCGTCTGGTCGGCGCCTTGTTAATACTTTTCCTGAATAATCATCTTTTTCCTTTATTTTTCTGCAAGGATTTTTTCAGTGCCTGGTTTTCTTTATCTCCATTTCTTTTTTTCTTTTTTTTTCTTTTCTTCACGTCGTCGTTGCCGCAGCGCCAAGGGGAAAATGTCTCTCAGTTGCACTCCCATTTTCGAAAACTCGTGATGATAGAAGCTGCCGCTTCGTGCAACGACACGCTTCTTGACTTTTGGCGCGTGCGAGCTCACGTGAGCACTCAGATTTGCATACGCATGCAAAGCGCCAAGTGACCTCTCTCTCTCTCTCTCTCTCTCTCCTCAAGAGTGCGTGCGTGTGATGTTTGTGTTTGGAGCCGCGCTGTCTCGCTGCTCGTTTCGTTTGCCAAGAAGAAATGAATGAGAGAGATAGAGAGAGAGAGAGAGAGAGGCTATATCGCTCTTCTGTTTTTTGGCCGCAGCCGCTATTTGCGGCCCCTTGGCGGCGAAGGCCGCAGGAGGTGTCTCCCCGCGTGCTGATACCTGCAGAGCCCCGGCTTCTCTCGCGGCCAAGGACGCGCTCGTAGACCTTGACGAGGCAAAGAGGGGCCGCGTTTCCGCTCCGAACACCGTCGCTTTCTTTGACCAGTGCGTGCGTTCGGGCGCCATGACCAATAACACCGTGCGTGCGTTCGTGCACGTGCGCTGCGCCCGATAAATGGCAACACAGCAGTGGGTGGCCGATCCTTCTCGACGCATTGTGTTTATCGCTTTGGCGTCTTGTCCGCGGAGAGTTGCACTACGGAGCCGCGTTGTTGTTGCTGCCACGGGCGGGCTTCCTCGCGCTGTTTTTGTTTCTGCGCCGTCCGGCGGCCTTGCCTCAGTTGCGCAACTTCATGGAGGTTCTTCTCTTTCTGCCGATTGACTTCACGGGCTTCTTGGGTGCCGTTGTCGAGAAAATCGATGTGTAATTATAATGCATGTAGCAAAGTGCAAATAGCCGGGAAATTGCTTTTGTGTTGTTGCTACCGCTTTTTTTTTTGTTGTTGTTGTCTTTCTCTCGCACTTTCGCCCTCCTAATCTTGAAGACTGTTTTCCGTTCTGACGTGCTCAGTAATGTGCTCCTCGCGCGAACGGCGTTGCTATCGTTGTTGCGGCCAGAAGGTTATGCATCGTCACAGCAGTCGTGGTTCGCGCTCTTCAAACTTGATAAGAACTTGATGTTCATATAAACCTAAACTATCATGCTTATATGTTGCTTATGCTATGTTATTGTTAAACTTTATTTTATCTGGTGTCATTATTTTAGCGTTTTCTAACGTGTTGTGCGTGCTGCTTTAGCGCGTCTACGTTGCACCCATTCTCTGGAGTGCGTGAGTCAAAAGATCTAGTTGTGTGAGAGGCAAAAAAAAAAAAGAACGTTATTAGCTCTCAAACAGTGCTCTTAGATTGTGACCTCCTGCACCATCTCTGACTCTGTTTTGCGTACCTTAATGCACATGTAGCGAGCGCTGATCGATATAAATGTTCCCTGCAGTTATACGCCCAAATGCGTGTCGTAAAACGCGTTACGGAGGTTAATAAACGACATAATGCGTCCACGTCTTCGCCAACTTTCACGCGCACGCAGCGCCCAGCACTCGAGTCGATAATGACGTGTCTCGCCATGTTTTTTTGCTACCTCGGCGCAGACACGACGCACTCAGCCAATGAACTCTCTCAAGAACAACCTTGCGCGGGTTATTGGCGCTGGCGCGAGATTGGAGTCTTTGTCGTGAGATAAGACGTGTTTGACCCCGGAGTGACATTTGCGGTGCACGTTGAAGGGCACGGGATGGTATAAACTTCCGTAGCCCGCCACGACGGCGTACCTCGGAATCATGTCGTGTTGTGTGCACGTAAAACCCCGCAAATTAATAATTACACGAGGTTTGTTACATAGACAACTACTTCACTAATGTACATACGCATACACGAATGCTCTCTAGTGGCTAAGGTACTCGGCTGCTGACCTGCAGGTCGCGGGATCGAATCCCGGTTGTGGCGGCTGCATTTCCGATGGAGGCGGAAATGTAGGCCCGTGTGCTCAGATTTGGGTGCACGTTAAAAAATCCCAGGTGGTCGAAATTTCCGGAGCCCTCCATCCACTACGGCGTCTCTCATAATCATATGGTGGTTTTGGGACGTTAAACCCCACAAATCAATCATCAATCAATACACGGATGCTGACCGCCGGATGTTGAACGCTTTCAGACAGTAAAGACCGCAGGACAACTTTTGTCTTTTCGTTTCTCTTTGTTGCCTCGCACGCAGCGCGGTGACTGAACCCTGTCGTCCTCCGTTTGCGTCCCCTGCGCAGTTGTGGAGACCATGGCCCCAGCAGCGGTGTTGCTCGCCCCTCTGACCCGTTCGTCGAGCGGCCCGTGCGCCAGTTGGACGCTTCAGCCGAGCCTAGACCCGTGACCGGTTCTCCTGGGCTGGAACGCAAAGGGTCGACCGAGGCGCTGTGTATACCCTGCTGCTGCTGGCCTCTGTCGTGCGTCTGTCCCGCTCGTTTGGTGTGCGGCCGTGTAGCTTCCCGTAGCAGGCGCAGGTGAGCACTTCGGCGTTTCGTCGGCTGTTTGGTAAACTCACAATCTATGGTCTATCACCGTATACTGGTGAATAGGGAGTGAAGGAAAAAAAAAGGGGGGGGGGGGGGAGGGGGAATTTAGGAGTAGTTAGGCCCCACACGCCCCTCAGTGCAAATGCAGTGGCGGAAGCATTGTTTTTCTAATACACTCCTGAGAAACCGTCACACTAGAATTTGGAATGTGTTCTAGCGCAAGCTTAATAATAATAATAATAATAATAATAATAATAATAATAATAATAATAATAATAATAATAATAAACAAGAGAGAGTACACAGCACAATAAAGACATTGAATTTTCTGATTACTCAGTTCTTCATATTATTTACTCTCGTTTCTTTCTTTTTTTCTTTCAGTCTTCGTAATAGCCTGTCTTGTTGGCCCGCGTAACTGCTTATACCTGTATTACGCGTGTAGCGCACTTGGTAGATTTGAGCGCGCCAAACCTCCGGGTATATACTGTGCGTGTACCTGTGGAATAAGTTCGTTCGAAAGTTGGCGCATTCTCATTCCCTTCTAGCCTAAGCATAACATGACTTCTTTCTTTTTCTTGCAATGAATCGCGAACTCAACACTTGGTACTGCACCTAACAGGGATTACCTGCACTTAACGCATATCCATGCGACAGCACAGCTCCTTTCTGAAACGCGCACGATGTAACAGCGATTAAGGCTGTGAGCGAGGCTTGTAAGCTGGGCCAGTTGACAAGTGTTCATGATCAATTTCGTGCATCTCTCACGAATAAGACAACGGATGGAATAATCACACGAGGCAGGCGCTGGCTGACTCCCAACTGAGGTTCATCTCGAAGAGCAGGAAACTTGGTTGAGAGTCGGTGGCCGTCTCGTCTGCTTCTCCCGTCTGTTCTCCTGCTCGCGGGCGCTGCACGAAATTAATCGTGGAATAGCGAGTTTGCGAAAGGTATAGAGAGCAGTAAGAATCGTCCTCTTCAAATGAATATTGTACTGCGAGAATTTCGATTCCTTTTCATAATGATCGTGGTAGCGATGATGCATAAATACTGGATCGCGAAATTATTCTCAATTATTGAACTTTGGCGCTCGCAGCAGGTCAGTCGTTTAAAGAAAGCTATGAAACTAAGACACACACACACACACACACACACACACACACACACACCACACACACACACACACACACACACACACACACACACACACACACACACACACACACACACACACACACACACACACACACACACACACACACACACACACACACACACACACACACACACACACACACACACACACACACACACACACACACACACACACACACACACACACACACACACACACACACACACACACACACACACACACACACACACACACACACACACACACACACACACCACACACACACACACACACACACACACACACACCACACACACACACACACACACACACACACACACACACACACACACACACACACACACACACACACACACACACACACACACACACACACACACACACACACACACACACACACACACACACACACACACACACACACTCGAAATCGAAACCTAAACTATCATACTTCATACACACACTTAAACTATCACACACACACACACACACACACACACACACACCCTTTTTTGTATAAGTGCTTTCAGTGTGACATTCTTTACGACTTTTGGAAGAAGTTACCGGATGCGGGTAATTAGGCACCGTTTGTAGGGATCCGTTAACTTCGCCTTGTGTGGCAACTTTCGGCGGCGTTGCCATGCCTATATACTGCACTGTTGTGCGGTTACCAAGCTCTTTTTTCTACACGTAGAAGCCGCTTTGCTGTTTCTGTAGCTGACTTAACTGAGACTGTTCAACTTGAGTCCTAATTAGCACATAATTATAAAGCGATTAGTCCAGTGTAGGGAGTTACCTTGCATGTAAACAAGGCGCGCGTTCTCAGAATGCGGAAAAAGGTTCATCGTAAAAGTAAGAAACATGGGAGCGACGCTAAGAGTACAAAGAAAAAATGGGAATCGATCGAGGACACGTTTCTTTTGTTGGACAAATCCAAGTGGATCACACAGGCAATCAAGCAAAACGAAAACACGGGGAGGTATTATTTGTTGTTTTTATTGTTTTTAATGTAGTGTATACTACCACACAAATTGAACACATATTGCAGGGCCGCTCGCAAAAAAAAAAAAAAAAACACGGACGAAGAGGAGTACAGAAAACTTGCGCTCGTCTTGTGTGCTCTCATGCGTCCGCGTTTTTGCGAGAAGCCCAAGCAACGTGTTCAAGAATGCACCAACTAGCCCAAACGAAAGCTTGACTGCTCATAAATTGACACTAATAAAAGTGGACGAAAGAAGAAAAAGTGCAGCCAGCTTCACTACGTGAAAGGCGTCTAAACGGTGAAGTTGATGTCCCACCTTTGTTGGGCGGTTTAATTTTCTGTGCTCTTTTCTTTTTCTCGCGTCTGTGTGAGTATTTTCACATATTATATATTCCAACTGGCCAATCGCCAGAAACTCGTGTTACCACCGCGCAGGGGTGTAGCCAGAATTTCATTTATTTTTTTTGGGGGGAGGGGTGGGGGTTCGGCCATACCTTTATGCTCGTGCTTGCGTTTGTGTGTACGCGCAAGCAAAATTGAGAATTTTCGCGTGGAGGATAATTGAGTCCTCCTCCCCCATTCCCCAAGATACTGCCTCTGCGGCTGCGTTGGAGCGCAAAGAGTGTTGTGCCGACGGGCAGTCAAGGGTCGGCTAAAAGCAAATTCGCTGTTAAGAACACCCTTCCTTTTGATGGGACCCGAACCCACAGCATTCCAATAACGTATCGACGTAATAACTGTAATAGCTCTCCTCCCACCCCACCCCTTCTCTTCTTTTTTTTTCTGTTTAAGGACAAACAATACTTTCTGGGCTGATGCCTCCTGCCGCAAGTACGCACCATAACGTTTTTGTTAATAGGGAGTTTTAGTGCTGGGTACGCATTCTCTTGGGGCGATGCGGGCTTGGGAGCGCGTGGCGTTGCGTGCCCAACCCATACCCAACCGGAATGCCTTTTAGTTTGCGCCACGGTGGCACGCACGCAAACGCAAGCCGCACGAAGGTCACACGTGCTCGCGGCGCCATAGCGTCTTGTCGCGTAAGTGTTATTTAATTATTTTTATGATTGAAAATGTAAAATTAAACATGCATAGTGATCAAGACACTTTTTTTATCGTGTACAGTATCCTGGTATACGCAAAAAAGTGAAAAATACAAGCTTAGTATAACGACAGTGTCGACATCTTGTGACACTTCGTGCAACCACAGCCGTGAACTTGTTAGCTTACGCGTAATGTTTTTGAGATGAAAACAAATAAAAACGTTACTCATTTGTAATATTGTCGCTGCGCAGTTTTTGCATCAGATGTACAATGCACAATGTTTCTGCAATAACAATGTTGTGGTTGTCTGTTTCAATATAGCCGCGCTAGATGGCGCCACCTATTCAGCTGGTCGGGCTGGCATATATTTAGTTTATATGTTCCAGGCCATTCTAGCTTTGGTAATCTGGCTGAAACCGTGTAATCGCTATAAGTGCTCGCACTTTGGCTTATTTTAACTCGACGGCTAAAGTATCCGCAGTTGGTCGATAGTTGGTCGTCGTTCTGTTCTCGCGCTATAACTATCGTCACTTCAATCAGAATTTTGCTTACCTTATCTGGATGCCAGACTTGTTGATCCGTCCGAGTTTATTTCTCCCTGTAAGTTCCGACTTGGCTTACGAGTGGGCGCAGCGCCGGGAAAGAGGGAGAAATCTCGTTTTTTTTTTTTCTCCTGGCGCAACATGCCTGCACGTCACGTACACACATGCTGATTGAGCCCAGAAGGCGCCGTGTGTACCAAAACAGCTGGCTGTGTGTCAAGGTTATACGCTGTCGATAGTGCTTGGTGCGCATCGTGCACGAAACCTTCGCGAGAGCTTAATGCGAGAGAAGGTGATTCTTAAGAGAGAAAGGAAGAGAAAAGTGAGCCCCGTAACTTTCTGCTTCAGTGAGCGACACCTCAACAGTAGCTCACAAGGGATGGGGTGAGGAGGGATAAAAGGGGTTGGAGTAAAGGTGTAGAAAAGAGGAAGAGACGTGAGGTGGTAAGCCAGAAGGAGCGACAACAAACTGAGGGGATAGGAGAGATAGGAAAGATGGAAGTGCGGTCAGAGGAGTTCGAGCACGGGGCACCACTTGCGAGAGCTCTTGTCGGCGTCAGGAGATGACGTAGAGCAAGTCCAGTCGGTCAGAGCTACACTGTCGTCGAAGGTCGTCGGCGTCAGGAGATGGCGTAGGGCCAGCCCAGTCGGCCAGAGCTACGCTGACGCCGGAGATCGCGAGGGCACAACCGGTCGGCACGGAATCCAGCGAGCGAGTCTTAATGTGAGAACGCTCGTGTTTTGTACGGAGGAGCCATGGCCTTCGAAACTGAACTGGTGCCCCGCACGTGGCAGTGGCCGTCACGGCGAAAGCGTGACACTGGAACGTTAAGCACTAATCAGTGATCCGCCGCCTTGTTAGTTTTATTGTCGCTGAGCAATCGAAAGAGTACGACCCGTGTGCCTCGCGGTGCACTGTGAAAGGAAAAAGCTAGTGAAAAGAGTGTCTCTCTGTTTTTCCCTCCCTTTACAATAACCGTCCAGTGTCTTGCGTGCGTGTCCTTACGTTATTCCCGAGCGCCCGGCGGTTTCCGCGGCCGTCACGAACGAGCTAACAGTTTTCAAGAAAGGAAGCGCAAACCAGACAGACGACGATTATTGTTGGGAGACGAAGGCACGCCCTTATTACGATCGCTTTTACTTGTAGCGAAAGCTTAACAGCTAGACCCATTTCTATACATCTCCCTTTCTTTTTTTTTTTCGTTTGGTTTTTCTTTCTTTACTTTTTTCCTCTGAGCGAGATTGCTTCCTCACTATATCAGGCTTAAGCGAGCCAAATATATCCTTTTCTTCAGTATTACGTGTCGGTCGCTTTCTTTTTTCTTTTGGTTGAACGTTAGCTCCGATACGTGAAACATGTCTGTAGCCATCTGTAATCGATCGTAGAATTCAGACGGTGTTGATCGATACTTCTCCTAGGAACACGTCGTCACTTTTTGCTCCGAATTGCAGGCGCATTGCAATACACAAGTCACTGTGTCTTTTAGACGTCACTGTACTGTTCCGCAGCACGTAACGACCGGCCCACGCAGGAAGCCGTGCGATCCTGTTCTTGGAAAAGTGGATTACGCGGTCGCCCGTAGTTATAAATACGGTGGAGGATTTCCCAGTGGCTTGATGGCGCGGGGGAGGCAGGCAGGAAACTGCGGCTTTCTTCTCGAACTTCCCCCGCCCCGACTCCGACTGGCTAAGTTCCCGCCGTCAAGCTATCCAAGCCGAAGCCACTCGCCGTGACTACGTATCGCGTTTCGACAAAACAAAGGAAAGGGACGCACCGCGCAGCGCTTAGGAACGCCAAGCTTTCTTTCTTTTTTTTTTTTTAATTTCCAACTTTCGGCGGTGTCTCTTTGTTCCGTGCCTTCGACGTTCGACTTCACGCTCCTGACTCGTTGTGGGCTGGTCGTACTCCTACTGGACTTGCTGCTTTGAAAGTACAGTCACGACTCGCGTGCATTAGGAGAGGGAGAGCCGAATTCGTTGTATGAATGAGACGAATTGAATTGCGGGATACACCTTTCCGATAAGCTATTCAGTTTTATCAGCACTTTTGGGAATATTAACTTCGTTTAGCCGCTGTTGTTATCTCTCGTAGACTGTCTGTTACGTGTTGTCCAGCCCGATTTTCGTCCCCCACTCTCGGCTTTCTTCCCTGCGGGATTCGGGGTTGAACTACACCTAACCAAATGCATCAGTGAAAGGGTTGGGGCGAAAATTCGGTCGGTTTTTATTATTTCTACCTCTTTCAGTGCACAATTAGTTCCCCTTTGTCCCTCCCCTTCTCTTTTCATTTTCGGGTAGACGAGAAACTGAATCTGACCTAGTAGCTTCCGTTAGGTTGTAGTTGGTGAAAAATTGGCCTGTGACGTATAAGTGCACCACATATCGGACGAAAGTTGTGACCCTGCATGGTCAAGGGTGAAGCAATACTGTGGGGACGGCTGCTGTGTGCTTTCAATGTAACTTACACTATGACCGTGAAATTCCATACAGGGTCACGTGGGGGCTCACTTTGCATAACTCACTGTATGTACCATTCGAATGCATGAACGCTACATGGATGCACTAAATTGGCAGTTGAAAAGGCGCCGCCCACTATACAGTACGGGTGATGCAAGTACGCGGCTTTGTTTCGTCGCATTGCAGCACTGACGCTTGCCTTGTGGATTTTCGAAGGTGTGGGTTTTCTTCTTTTGTCTCGGATTCAATAGTGCAGTGCTAAACTTGCTGCTTAAATGCGAAGTCTGGCTGCCAGATATATCCTTGATGTAAGATGCATTGGGCATTGTTGACGCACGCCACCACACGTATACCTTTTTTCCCTTTATCGATCGTTCTGCAGTGTAATTGGTATGCTCGGCTTTTTGTTGTTGTTTTTATTTCTCACGTGTACAGCGCTCGTTCTCTTTACTGCGCTTGCTCTTTGTGCACGTTCCGACGAGTATCGCTGACGGTGATTGTTTTTTTGTACTGCACCTGTATGGAAGATGAATTGCCTCCAACACTGCTCGCCTTTTGTAATTTGGAAGTACCGTTGTGTGCGGCGCAATGCGTATCTGTGATACCAACGGATCGCTAATGGTGGTCACATGCAGCCACTCTTAACAGTGTGTTGCATCTCACTTATCGTACGTAGCTATACATTGCGCGGTTTCGGGCCACGGTCACGTGCAGTTCACACGCGCGCTATACGAAAACAGTTAGCTTCTCGGCTTCATGTATCTGTATGTGCCGCATTGCGCCCACAGTTGTTTGTTGCCATGCTGCAGTGTTCCTCGCGGACGCGGAGGATAGAAGACCGGTGCCGTCCGGGTGCCACACGTAAACGACAGACGTCGGAAAGGATCACCTTTGAACGACATAGCGTTAAGGAGCTAGTCGGCGTGTATAATTGTGACCGAGAAATTAACGTCGTTCCGTGACCGAAAGTTCGAGGTAAATGAGAAGCTTCACCTAGTTGTTAGGCGTAGTTCTTAGCGAAGCCTTGCTATGTCGCGTATAAATTGCTGTCCTTGTGTACCGTGCTTAATAGCCTATAAGAAATGTCCGCTCAGAATGAACCGTGTCAGTTTTCCAGCGTAACCACGCTTCAGAGACGCTGGCGTAGCAGATGGGGAGACAATCGGTAGCACGTCGTGGAAAATATAATTGGGTATACCGTGGCGCAATGCACCGTTGCGTTAAATTTAGGGGCTGCACGTGTCCCGTAGTGCCTCCCTCGGTGCGTCAAAAGTGCTGCACTACAGGAACAATTAAATTAAATGGAGTTATTGCACGTCTGCCTAAATTCGTATAAAGAAGGAAGTAACTTTGTGGACAACTACATGCGTCGCTTGACATGTTTGCTGGGGCCACTGTCGGAAATGACTTTCCAAGCCTTTTTCAACACTTGACCCCAGCAAAATGACTTCCAACCAGAGCCTGGAACGTTTTTTTTTTAACCCATTTACCCATTTTTTTACCCATTACATTTCGGCCTACGCCGTTCGTTGTAACCAAGTCCCGCTACATGACGTTGCATTGTACTCGGCTATCTGTTCTCTTCCTGGACAAAACGGCATGTGTGCGTTTGTTTCTTCTTCGTGTGCCCAGGCTGTCCTCCGGCTTCTTCGGAGTTACTGAAGGCGCTTCGCAGCGCCCCCGAGATCGCTGCCCAGGATGAGACCAACTGCGGAGCCGCCCGGTGAGTGCACCGTCGCGGACAGTCGCCGCGATGCCTTTTGTCGTGCAAACAAGGCGCCCGCATCTTCCATGCATTGTGCAACAGCAAACGGAGAGTACCGGTGAAGTGGTCCCTGGCAAGTTATACAATTATGCCCGAGACGGTCTTGTTTTATCGCCTGTGGCCGCGCGTGCAATACTAACTCCTCGTGGTTTGCAACTTGATCCCAACAATTGTAATTTTGTAAATCTACGAAGAGCGGAAGCGTTAAACGCAAAGAATGGCAAAACAACGTGCGTCGCTGCAGGTCGGCTGGATCTTGCTGTGGGCGAACATCGCACGTGTCGATGCAGAGACGGCAACTGGAAATCGCGTACAGCAGCGCACAACACAAAATAACGTATAAGAAACTACCTTAACTTCCAGGTTTCTTCTATTGATAAAGCCAGTGTCAGCCGTTGGTGACGCAGTAGCGTAGCCAGAAAACTTATTTTTTTTTTTTGTAGGGTGATACCTTATATAGGTTCGTGCATGCATTTGTTATTGCTCGTGTGTATATGCGCGTGCAAGATTGAGAAAATGGGGGGAGGGGGGAATCTCTTCTCCCCTGCCCCCTTCTGCAGGCCACGTCACTGATGTATCTGATCTGTCGTCGAGCGTTAAAATGCGTAAGTTATTTGTGTTCTGTAGCTCACTAGTTCCTTCAACTGCTAGTTTATGACTGCCTGTTGGAAGCTAAAAGAGGCTAATTAATATAAAAAATTGTATCGGGCCAGTTATGAATCCATCTTGGTAGGAAGCGCAGCCACTATTACACAGAACACACAACACAAGCGCTTGTGTTGTGTGTTCTGTGTAATAGCGGCTGCGCTTCCTACCAAGATTAATCAATATATGTTTAAAGCCTATGCACAGCGCGAGTCCCAGTGGCGCTCGCGCAGTCTGACTCTCGGTCAAGCCGCAAGGCCGCCCCTTTGTTCTCCGTGCATGCATGCTGGTCGTCATCGCCGAGTTCTAAGAAGCGTCGGCCGTGGTCGCATTCGACGGAAGAGCGACGGCCTTGCGTCAGGCTTGCGATGGGCGTGTCTGAAGCTCTCGTGTAGCGGTCACGAGGCCCGTGTTTTGCGAGGAAAGAGGGGCTAAGACAGCTGGTCTGGTCCTCCTCCTCGGTCATCGTAGTCGATGACGTCGCACAGTGCTGCCACCACACGTACGTTCCGTTTCGAGGAAGGGGGATAAAAAAAGGTTGGGAGCCATATGACGGAAAAGAATCAATGCGCAAGCAATTGATTTTTCTAGGACCTTGCGTTTCTGTGTCATGCGCCCGTGTCATGCGGCTTTTTTTTTTTCCTTCCACTCTCTCTCTAGCGCGCATGTATTGACCTTCGTGAAAGGTGCTCCCAAGCCTGCATTGTTGCAAAAGAGTCACGAGGTCGTGCGTTTGTGCAGAGGTGCGTTTGTTCGGAGGCGAAGCAGCGCACGGTACATTTGTGTGCGGTTCACTGGCCTCGACTCGACCTTGAACCTGCGGCCAGCTGCGGAGAGAGCCCGTGCCTCCCGCTAGGCCTGGCTTTTGTGTCTGCAGACGAGGGTGGTGGCGGGACTGGTCGGTCACTGGTGGGGGCCGGTGTTCTCGTCGGCGCTGTTGCCAGGGGCCTCACCCTCCGCCTTCGGGGGTCGAACAGGTGTGCGCGGCCCGCTCAGCTGTTCTCGACCGTCCGCTCCAGTGTCCTGGCAGCACCGTCTGCGTCGATGATTGTAGGGGTCTTTCCCCCTCTCAGTAATGAAGTGCGCGCTGGCTTGGGTTCGGCGAGCTCGTCACGATGGTCAGCCAGCCCCGTACCTGCACTCATGATCGTATCCCGTATCATGCGTCGCCTCGTCCTGCGTAGCATCACCCTCTCTCGTCGACGTCGTCCTTCTCTCCCAGTAGCTGTTTAACTCCTCGCTCTCCAGGTAGCGGCTGGCGCTGCTGAGTCAGTGGAAATGTTCGAGCTTGTCTGGCGATGCCGGGTATGGGCGTTGGCCCCTTTTCCACGGAATGCACCGTTCTTAGTTTTCTCTGATGGTGACGGCTGGGTTCAAAACGACGAGCAATAGATACATGGGTGTCGGCAGAGAGGTGCAAAAGGGGCACTTGCCCCTCTCAAGACTCGCCAGCCCTTGCGCTCACCCAAGCTAGACCAGTGCCCTGCCCCTCCCCCAGCCGTGAAGCAACACTGGTTTTTACCTCCCAAGAGACAATCCTACCGACGACCATCAATATATGAGCAAGGTCGTTGGTGTGCAGAGTCGGCGATCTCATTTAGCTGCATGTGCGCCTTCAATGCACGCTAACTTTCTGAATTAAGTGGCCGAGAAAGTTCATGTTACGTTCGGAGCCACCCAGTTTCTCGCCTTCAAATTTGTATCGAGCGACTCGCGCCGAAAGTCGTACCGGCATCGGTAATCGAGCAACGCTTGATTGCCTTCGACCTTCTTAAAGTTGTGTAATGTTACCAAGCTGCTCCACTGCAAGAGCGAAAAATCTACGACGCATCTTTATCAAAAGAATGCTTACTGCGGAAATCTTCTTATTGCTTCTCTCATTGAAATTCTTCACCAGCCACGGCCTTTTTCGCACCATTTGTGCGTTGATTTGGTGTGTTCGTGTCTTCATATTTGTCCATATTTACACACACTGCAACGGCCGTGTAGAGGGGTCACGGACTCCATTTTATTTAAGGGGAGACTTACGAAATGTTTCCAGGTAATCAAAAATTAATTCGGTGTGCCCCTGCCTGTGGCAAGCCATATGACATGACGGTTCTGGTTCCGGCATGTAAAATCTATACTTTTCTGGATCGCTGAGGTGAAATCCTTAGACACCTCATGAAACGCGAAAGCTAATCGTCGGTGTTCCGTGGCGTCGGGGAGGGGGGGGGGAGGGGGGGCAACATGAGTGGGACGAAAAAATCACCACGTGATGACTTCCCCATGACGTCGTCATGGCGTCACATCGCGCGACATCTCGTGACATCATCGCTCCTTCAGAGCATAGTTTCCTCGAATTAACTAGAGCAGATATGATGCTGCGATCGTTCAGCCGCCATTGGAATGATGGGTAGTGCACGGATTTGCCTAGTCATCTTGCTTGCTGGCGGCGAACGCACTTGTGACTTCGTTTATTGCAGTGTTTCGGTTTTGTTTTGAATAAAAGAACAAACCGTTTTGAACTTCGCGACTTGATTTGAATTGGTGAGCATAAAAGATTAAAGAGTACAACTGATAAACTATTGCTGATTGTCGTTTCGTGACAAAGCAGCTTTAAGCCACGCGAAGCCATTCGGAACGTGAGTGAAGTACGGAGACTAGGCAAATCCATGTACTACACATCGTACCCATGCTCCCTGAAGCGCCTTGCGTTGCAGTTCCCATAGACACTACTGCCAGAGTTTCCTCTGGTGTGTTTATAAGAAACTCTGTGGTTCAGAGATGGGCTGATCACGGAGGCAAAGCAATAAAAAACTGGTGCGGTGCCCAGATCTTGGAGGCAATGCAAAAGCACGTTAGGTACAGAATGCTTCTCTGAAGGGTGACGAGGCAGGATCGACTGAGAAGAAAAAGGGGGACGTGTTTTGCCTTCGCGTCCTCTAACGTTAACGCATAAGCGAGCCTGTGAGATTTTTTTTTCTTTTTACTTCATTTGTTGTACAATGGTCTGAGGGAACCGGCCGTTTTTCTTCGTGTTGTTTCGACTCTCTCTCTCTCCGGTACACCTTTTCCGCCTGGCCTGAAACTTCAGGGTTACGCATATCGGCGTTTGTGTGCATACAAATCGGCGCACGCGTGTGTACGGATTGATTGATTGATATCTAGGGTTTAACGTCCCAAAACCACCATATGATTATGAGAGACGCCGTCGTGGAGGGCTCCGGAAATTTTGACCACCTGGGGTTCTTTAACGTGCACCCAAATCTGACCACACGAGCCTACAACATTTCCGCCTCCATCAAAAATGCAGCCGTCGCAGCCGGGATTCGATCCCGCGACCTGCGGGTCAGCAGCCGAGTACCTTAGCCACTAGACCACCGTGGCGGGGCAACGCGTGTACGGAGGCATAAACTTTGTCCCCAGTGTCAGTTGCACAGCGCGATTGCCATATGCCTGCAGCTGGCACGGACTCTCCGCGTGCTGAAAACACCTGTCGCGGGGGATGCGCGTCCCTTCCGCATTGGAGCCCGTCCAGGTAGAGAAGCTCGGCGAGCTGCAAGCAACCAGCGAGGCGTGACTGCAGCAGCGACAACGGAAGCCGCACCTGCGGCGTGGATTCACTCGCCCACCGGTCGATATACTTTTTTTTTTTTTGAGAAAAGGATTAGAACTGTGGACCCGCTAGAGAGGTTTGTTGTGGGCTGTAAAAGGGAAGGGAATCGGAAGAGGCACGAAGAGACGCCTATAAAGCCATGGCCGGATGCTCTTGCGGCTTCGCCGCTCGACGAAGCCGCTCGAGCCTCTTTATTGCAAGAACAGGGCACCGTGCATTCATGTGTGCGAATAATTTAATACCGCGTTCCGAGGGCCTTCGCTGGCTACTGCTGCAGGTTGCAACCCCCTATACTCCTCCCATTGAGCTGGAACGTTTCGTTGCCGCAAGGCTGGAATTAATGAGAAGGGCCAGCGTAGGGGCTGGTTGGTTGTGCATGGGAGGAAACCATGGAATGAATTAACATATCTCTTAATTGTTACCGTGGGCTATTTTCGCAGTAGTTGATATAATCCTCTCGCGGAATATGTTGCCTTTTATACCCGTCATGTCTTCTCTCGTTCGTTTTCTGTAATCTGGTATGATATCTCCGGGGATATCACTAAAAATTGTTGCTTATCTACTTTAGTCATTCCTGAAGGGGAAAAAAAAATGACCGCTCCTCGACAGAAATTAGCTTAGCGCGTTTGAAGAAATTGCGGCATAGACGACGCATGCGGTTATTTGCATCAAGAGAAGCTCTCTTCAATCGAATTTCAGCGCAGCGGTCCCTCCT